ATTCAAATAGTAGACCTTATATGGTATAGCGTAGTACCCTCCCCCTTAGACCAAAGTACTCCCTGTAGTATAGTACCTTTCCAACTTCACGAATTGGTAAAATACCCAGGTACTTTAGTCAACCGTTTACGGTAATTTTTTAAATAAAATTTTAGTTGACTTAGTGTTCTGAATCAATAGTAACTATATGCTTGGAAGCAGTGACAGACTGGACAAGGCTCAGGGATCCATCATTTGGCCTAGCTTAGGGACCACCCAAATGTGTTCAGCAATAGACTGAATCCTACCAAAATCTATAGGATCAAGGCTCGCCTAACAGATTCTAAGCATATATTGTATCATATAATTTAAACATTTTACCTCAAACGAAGATACCATTTCTTGAGCCTTTCGCGATAAAGAATCATTATATAGATGAGAGTTATTAGCAATATTTTCAACAAAGTTCTTCCATGCGCTATATTCAAATTCTATTTGTAAGGCTTCAGGTTGCTTGAATTTTCATTTCAAGAAACCGACAAGTGACCATTCTGACAATTCAGTTTCCTTAAATTTATTTTCTCTTTTAACGGCATACATGTTCAAACAAACCAATTTTTAGAAAAGAAAAAATATTTCAGTCAAGCCACTTTTTAACGAAAGAAAATGAGTCATGTGGCATACCAAAAAATCATAGGGGTATTCAAAATATGATTGGCTGAAATTTATATCTGATTTTGCATCAAATGTATCAGCAAAATAGCAGGTGTAGTTAATGCAAAATTTGTTTACTTAACAATTCTGAAAACCCTTATTTTTTAAAATTACGATTCATAGAAATACATCAAAATATATATCAATCTCGCGCACTAAAAATAATAATTGATTGGTTAATCACAAGTGCATCAATCTACCAATTTTGAATACCCTCATGCTGTCCTTGACTCCGTGTATTGATAGTTGATTATTTCCAGCTATTGCACAATAATCAGAAGACGAACAGTGACATAGACTCACATGATTTGAGAGAAAATTTATTTGCTCACATACAAAATACATTTTAAAAAAAAATTTTTTTAAAAATCCGGGTACACTAATTTAGGTCTCAGGCCCCGAATTGGCTGGTTTAATTGATTATGCTTATTTGTAACATATCGTATTTGTAACATCTCATAGCGTGACAAATAAACCTAATCCACTGAAAAAAATTCTGTCCATCAAAAAATTGAACACCTAACCTTAACCCTAACTAATCTCAATTATACCAACCAGTCAATCGTAGCGTGAGGGGTAATTTTAGTAAATAAAATTCTACTTTCATAATCTTTTTCTATACTAGAATTCTAAAATAAATTATATCACTTATATCTACAGAATTTTTATCTATCTACATTACTCTCATTTATACAAATTATATAATAGATTATTTTCATAAGAGAACATTTTTAAGATCAAATAATTTCAAATTTATAGGAAGAATTCTTAAGAAAAAAAAATTAAAATATGATAAGGGTTTCTGATTTACTTACTATTATAATTCATTTTAATAATATCTTATAATATTTTAAGTTTTTATTGTTAATTTAATATTGCATCAAATATTAAAAATTTAGTACATGAAAATGTTTATAATTTTATTACTAGAAAAATTATTTGATATACTATATATTGTATTTTGATATATAATAAAAATATAATACAGAAAAATCATAAAATTAAATTTGTAATGATTAGACATATAATAATAATCATAATTTTTTTAGCATGTATAGAAAAAATTAAAAAATATAATATGTTTACTTAATATTTAAGCATTTATAGAACTAAAAAAATGATTAGCATTATAATACTGCTTTTTTAGAATCTAGTTAAACAATAAAATCAATTTACTTTATTATTACTTTGTAGATTATATTTATTCATTTAATTGTTAATATTAGTAATGTATAATAATGATAAATTTGATTAGTTTTATTTGTTAATCTAAAATAAAGTGAAGAACTTTATAATATTAATCATATTCACACAAGATATCTGTTGTTTTTTCACATAATAATTAAGTCAATGCTGTTTGGTTTTGCAATTATATAAAAGTCTAAATAAAATAAAAATCAGTATAAATTTTTAATTAAAATTATTCTAAATTATTTAGAAGTTTAAATAATATATTGATAATCTTTTATTATTATAAACTCATTAATGTTAATGTAAAAAATAATAGAAATAAAATATATTAAATAAAAAAATAAATCTTTATAAATTTAAATAATACATTATAAATTTGATATCATTGAAAATAAATAAAAGGCAACTTCTCAAGAAATACAATTTATATTCTTATAAATACTTTTTAAAAAATTACTTTTATATGAAAATTTTTAATGACTATTTATAATAAAAATTTTAAACTAATCTCCTATCTTATTACAGAATAACTATGTAATAGTTTCCTTATTAATGATTGCCATATTAAAGTAATTATTACCTAATTATTTTATAATAATCCTATAATTAATGACTAAATTATTTTATAAAATATTTTAATAATTATTCTATTATTGTTATATTTCTCTTTTTAGTTTTCTTTTCTTAAAATCTTCTTTTGATATACCTATTTTAAGCTTGTATCATATATCATTATAGCTAATAATTTCATTTTTCTTTATTAATTATTTTATTGTAAAGGTTATATAATATCTATGTTGATCATTTTTAATCAGTTTTGATGATTTTTTATGTTATATGAACTTCTTATAGATTATTTTGCTATTTCATATAATCTTTATTTCTACAGATTACTTGTATTACATTATAAAAGAAGCATTCATGAATCAAATTAAATATAAAAATTTAAATTAAATTTAAAATATAATGTATTCTTTTTATATTATTAATTTTTTAATGATTAATTTTAAGAATGTTTACATTTTTGATATTCTAATTAATATATTTTAATTCTTTATTTAAATAAATTTTTTATATTGTATATAAAAATAAATATATTCTACAAACTTTATTTTTTTTATAACATATAATATTTAATATAAAATTATAAATTACTTTAGATTATTTAGTATATTTTCTTCTATAAATTACCTTTTTATTATCAGGATATTTTTCTTCTTTTTGTTATATATTTTATTAAATATTTTGCATAAATTTAAATTAATCTAAATCTAAACTGAATCTGATGAATCAGATTTAAATTAGATTTATCAAATTCATATTAGATTTTAATTTAGATTTGAATTGATCTGTTATATTTAGATTCAAATTCAAATCTAATCTATTAAATTTAGATTCAGATTTAATCTATAAAATTTAGATTCATATCTAAATCTAAATTAATTATCTGATTTATTATTATTTTAATTGAATGATTTATTATTGTTCTTCTTAAATGATTTATTATTCCTTCAAGCATTTTGCAGGCAAATTTGCCTGCAATTTTATTTAATAATTAAAATTATTTATAATAATTTTAAA